TGAGATGTTGAGAGGGACGTGGGAGGTAGGCCGCACCGTAAGTGCTGGTCGACACTCACTCACTCACTCACTCACTCAGTCACTCACTCACTCACTCACTCACTCACTCACTCACTCACTCACTCACTCACTCAGCGCACCTCTGACAACCTCGTGACTGAGAGGGTCGGCAGCACATCCTGAGACTCAGATTCGAGCCTGGGCACCCCAGGCCCCAGACCTTGCCCATCTCTCTAGGCCAACGTGCAGAAGTTCGCCCCAAGAGAGGATGAGGAGGAGTGCCTTATCCTGTCCTGGAAAGTTTGCGAGGCATGGTTCGCCAAGCTTTTCATATCTGAGGTCCAGCTACAGCTCCGAGTCTGGCAGCTCGGCGACAACGGTTTGTAGCCGCTCTGTGCCAGGTCGGTTTTGCTTGAGGGCACGCCTATAAATCGCAGTAATCAAAACCAAACAAAGCACTGGACCCCGGTCTTGGTTCTGGCTGACTGCCTAGGTTGAAGCTTTGTAGCTGCATGCTCTCACCACTGTCTAGTCTTCAGATATCCGCTCTTTCAGACAACATTGCAGGTGATGAAGAAGAAGATGCACTTCCAGTAACTGTGGATAGGTATGGCGGGTATGGGTGATGCTTGACCACTGCCGGAGAAAAGCTCGACACAGTCGTAAGTTCCGCAGCTGAGTTCAATTTTTTCTCCTCGCCGCGTCGCCGTGCCACGAACAGGAAGCGCCTTTCTCGCTGCGTCCTCCATGGACATCGTCCTGTCGCCCGGCGCAGGACGTTTTGAAGTAACAGAGTAAGTCAAAGCCCAGGCCCAGGTCACAAGCTTCGATGACTTAGCTCGTCTGTCACAACGTGAGAAGTTCGAAGCTTCGAATTGAAGGGTTTCCGAGATGATCACGTGCAGGTGCGACATGCGCAAGCTATTAGGCTTACTTTGGTGCGCTGGTGCGCCGGCCACTGTCAGGGCCACGATTGTGTGGAAAGTGAATGGGGGCCCACTACGTGAAACGATGCTGTGACAATAGCAGAGAAAGGCAACCAAAAGCGGTTGAGGCAGCAAGTCCAACCTCAGAAAGCTAGCAGAGAATTAGAGTCCGGAAGTCGCTCTTTCATGACATTTCATGACTGACCGCTGGATTCACGACGGCTGCTTGTAGGAATTTCTGGAGTTTCTGCCGATTATCTTTGATTTCTTGCGGCGGGCCTTGGCTTGCTTTTGGCTGCACGTGTGGCCACCGCACCGAATGTTGCGAATCTTGACCGATGAAGATGAAGCGCCGCCAGGCACGCTGCTCTGGTGCGGGGTCCACCTGCCACTGTTAGCACGGTGACGGTCTAGGCAACATGGTGCAAGCTCGCTGAGTTAGGAAATTTTGACATCGGCCGGTTGACAGCGTTTCTGTGTAGAGATGCCGGTGTAGCTATTGCTTGGCTCCTTCGCTAAACTCCCAGATAGTCAGATACAACTGGAACGGCGCAGGCTCAAGTCAGGGCGTCAAGCTTCACGCATGGACTTCGTACGGCTTTCGGACTCCATTCGACTTCTCGTCTGCTCATCGGAATAATGATTGCTTTGGTGCCTCTAGCAACTCTGTCCACAAGATTCCTCCATACGGCAGAGGGAGCAGTTGTCGTAAAGTCTACCACTTACTAGCCGATTGTGGCTGGGGCTGTGGCCACGTGCGGGCCAAGCTCGCCAGGACTACAATCTGACACAGAGACCCAGACTGTTGCTTTGGAGTCGGGAGTCTCCCCGATGCCAACCCTCGGCTTTCTTGCATGGCGCAGCTACAAAGAAACTCCATGAGGATTAGATGGTTGCTGCAGGATCCTGCGGGGCATGGATAAAGAGGACGAGAGCTTCTTGGGAAGCATCGTAGCCGGAGGGGCCCCGCAGGTGAGTCACGGCTCGTATACGATGCATGTAAGACTGCTCCAGTGTTGCTGCTTTTCTGATAGTTCTGTTGTGCAAGCTGCCCCAGCGACTCGGAAGAGTTTGCGACAACATGCAAAGTCTATGGCTATGGAAACCGAGGCATCTGTCTGGCGGAGCTCGTTCGGCCGGAGGATGGCCAGACCCTGAGAACAGAGGGCCAGATACCTGTAGGGCCATCCCTTCTTTGATCAGAGAAAGTTGCAGCTATTTACCGGATCCCGCCGGCGTCCCGTGAGCTGAGGGTGCGGGATCTGGGAGAGCTGGGACAGCGGGGTTGAAGTTAAAAAGACGTGGGGGCGTTCAATGCATTAGCTGATTGGCTTTACTTCGGGCGAGTTCATGCATCCCGAGCAGAGGCAAGAAGTGCAGCAATTACTAAGATTACTAAATCTGTTATGCGGGCAGTACAGCCACAAATGTCTTCACCTGTTTTAAGAGATGAGGAAATCGGATTCCTTTTTCTGTGATCCTTGCTGATCTCGTCATTCAAAGGTTTTAAGGCCGTCTTTGAGGCCCTGGAGAACGAGGCGCGCTGGCTGTGGTTCTTCGCCATGTGCACCCAAAATAGTTAATTGGTCTGTGCTTCCGACGAGTTTTGCTCGTTTCAACATGACGGTGCTTCCTTACCTCAGGTGTTCCCCGAAAGCCACCGCAAGAATGCTGGAAGCCCAGTGTTCTGAAACAGCTTTCGAGTTGAACGACAAGTTCCGTTCGGCAGGAGTTTCAGGAGGATTGTGTGTGCATGCATGCAGCGGCTGGCACTCTCAATACTTCTTTTGAACCAGAAGGCCACGGAAGGCTGCAATACTGAGGTGCGTGAGGAAGGCGATGACACAAAGATTCTAGGGATGTGCCTGGGTGTGACCAGCCACTACACGAAGGCCGGAGTTTACGGCAGGCAAGACTAGTGCTATTTACATGCTGAGTCAGACAAGAAGCAAGAATCGCACCATTGGACAGCTTGTGCTCCCGATCCAGGGGGCTCAAGTGTCAGCGGCGACACGTCAGAGGCGCGCCGCTGGTAAGGCTTCACAATTTCAGCATCCGGTCAAGTAGAATCGCTTGTCCTTCCCATAAGGCATCCCACAATCAGGCCTGATCGCAACTCTTCCTTTCCTTCCCTGTGGGCTTGCAACCCCCGGGCTTTTTGTCAGCATGCTTCTGCAGGCCCATGGCCCCGAGTCTTGAGTTGAAGTGTGTCCGTAAGGGACCTCTTCGTTACGGCTTGCGAATGCCGAAGGAGAGACAAGAGACTGTAGTGATTACTGTAGTGACTCTAGTGACCTGCTGTTGTTAAGCTTATGGTTTGCGTTCGAGACCCTGGAAGGCCAGGCCTTGCCAGGCTACTCTGCAGCTTTGCCCGGAAGGCCTTGCTTCCGTTGCCCAACTTTGCTTCGTACAGGCTTGTCAAGGCCCTTTTGGAGTTTTATGGTTGTCTACTAGTGTTTTTTGGAATTTAGAAGTCTTTAGAAGTAGAAGCATTTAGAGGTCGCTCCCCTGTCCTTTGAGTTTCGGCCAGTGCGACAAGAAACCTCTTTTGCGGTTGGAGTATGTCCAACGAGGAAATTCCAGACTTCCACTTCACTTCGATTCAGGTCAACAAGGACCGCTCTCATGTGTCCAGTGGTCTTACAGGTGATGGTTGACTGAGCTGTCCCATGCAGTGATAGATTGCGTACTGGGCGCGCTGCGTTCTGCAGTTTCGATATGTTTCAGCGACGAACAGAACGGCAGCTGGTTCCTGAGGACTACCAGGCTGCAATGCATGTGGACAAAAACAATCTCGGACCCTCCTGGATTGTTGGCCTAGGCGGGAGGGGAAATGAGGTACTTGCTGGAGAGTGCGGTATGGATGTTGACTCTCAGCGCGGAAAATAGTAGTAGTAGTAGTAGTAGTAGTAGTAGTAGGGTCCGCCCCGCCCGTTTGCCCACCGCCAGGTCGTCACGACAACCGCTGTTTCGGCTTCGACGATGGTTTACGGTTTAGGGGATAAAATAGAAGATAGTCCATGCGCTATGTCCGCTGTCGGTCGTAAAATAAAGCTCAAGAGATATACTG